TTGTTCAGCTTCAAAATTTCAATCTCAAGCCGCCTTGCCCACTCTGCAGCCAAAATGCAAGTGGCAAAGTGTAACCACTCGGGTATTAAATTCACTTTTCTTTCCTTTCGTCGTCATCCCGACACAAAATCTCAATCGCCTAATCGCACAGCCCTACCTAGTGTGTAGTTTATGTGTGTACACAGCACACAGTGTAGTGTGCATGCGTGACCTTGACCTTGAGCGCTACTCTAGATGTTGAAATAATGCTCCTGTGAGGCGGCGGCAATAATGGCGTGCACTTTGATGACATTGCGTCACAGCCAAGGTGACTGAGTGGAGGCGAAGGAGGAGGAGTTGTGCCACCCCCACCCCAGCCCCCCAAGCAGCCAGCCATCACCCCCCTTCTCACCCTGTCAATAGCGAGCCTCTTGTCTGATGTAGTCACATCAGGGCGGCACACCTGACACCGCCGCCGTGTCTTTATTTCCTGCCGCAGTCCCTCACTGGTGATTAATACGCTGACAGCGGCCGGGAGGTGAAACGCGCGCATGCGAGCGCACACCACAACAGCTACTCTTACTGAAACACACTCATCCAGCGACATCATTGGATACTCACTCGCCACCTGTGTCATACACCTCAAATACAAACTATTAATGTTGCACTTTACAAAAAAAAAAAAAGAACACTAATCATTATAGATGTTGCAGTTTCTCGAAAAGAAGGCTTTGTGTTGATGTTATACGGTCCTAAAAGGAACTTCACAAGGTCCGCGTTCAGTAAACAGAGGCAGTGTTGCACTTCTCAAAAAAGAACAAAACCCAACTGCTGGCTGAGGTTTTCCGGGCTGCTCTGACCATTAAGAGGCGCTGATGAATTATAGTCGTCGTCGATTGGACATTATTGGCAGCAGTTGAGTCGACGACGTCCTTTCCAGTCGCAGTAGACTCGTCGCAGATGTTTAACGCGCGCGCGGCGCCCTAAGTGACACTACGTCCGCCGCTGTCTGCCGGATGAGACGTTAATAAATCAAAGTGACCTCTGGCTGAAGGAACAGCCGCGTATGTAAATCCCAGAGTGATGCATTTAACGGGGAAGACCTTGGATTTAATAACAAGGAGGTGCGGCCGTTTGCTTTAATAGAAAAGACATTTTGAAGCAGCGGCAAATCATCAAGTGCCATTGATCGGATATAAAGTGCACCGGGCTTGGCAAGCTGCTACATTCCTGCCCTTCAATGACTCATGTGCACAGAATACACGGTAGTAAAAAAAGGAAAAAAAATCGGTTGCTGCACTGATTCTCCACTCTGTCAAGATTGAGGGATACACATTCAAATAATAATTCCATTCAGACCTGCCAGAGAGCGGTGAGAGTCTCTAAATTATGTACCTCTACATCTGCTACTTGATGATGTCACATGCTAAAAAAAAAAAAAGTGGTTGTGCTAATCTTGTTCGCATGTCAATGGGGATTCCAATGTAAGTTAGCATAATGCTAATCGGAAAAGACTATCACTTTGCTTGTAAACTACTTTTTGTGAGTCACATGTTCAATTGTTGCTATTGTCCTCGTATCAATGTTTTGGGATTTTTTTTTCCATGATTCTGGATGACATTCACCTTGAAATGTTTGGCATCCTTTGGCGGGCCTGCTTATATTATGTGAGGGTGCATCATGAGTGTTATGCAAAACTGCCATTGTGTCATTTGTCAAGCCAGAAAGAATAGCCGACGAGGGATGTCGCACTGCGCGGGCACCTGCAGGGCCACGCTTGTAAGTAATCAAGACACAAAGCGTGGCGACTCCTTCACTGATTTGTGTGTCAGCAGGAAGCGGCGTCGAGGGCCACGAGGTGGCCCGCTTGTGAGTAAATGTCACACGGGGGGCGGCGGGCGACGAGTAGCGGCGTCCCCTCAAGTAGCCCAGCTGCAGCTCTCACCTCTGGGTCATTAATTCTCACGCCGAGCTCGTAATTAGGACTCCTCGCGGTCACCGAGACACATTCTGCATCGGGATACATTTACCGAGCTGTCATTCTCATGACACAGGGCCGGCCGGGCCAGGATGGATCAGCCGGCGCCACACGGTATTGATGTCACCTCGCCATGGAGACTCCGCCCCGAGACACACCCTACTATGTCCATCCGACCTGAACTTAAAATCTCAGGTGGGACTTTGCCAACATCTTGCTTGCATTCAACATGCTTGAATTTTTAATTTATTTTCGAGCTGTAATTGTAATACCGCATTGCCGCCATTTGCTCACTGTTACTATACCGTACAGTGGGCGAGCACTGTACTGAATATGCCTCCATGTATGTTTACTCATTCCGAATATATTTTCAAAGGCGCAGCGAATGGTGATTGGCTCTCAAGGTCGCCTGAAAAAAAGGACAACAGGCTTTCTGGGAATTACAACAAGAGGGCCGGGATTCAATTTGAATTGCATTTATAATGGGATGCCGTTGACAATCCAATTGCTCAAGTGTCAAATATGCCGTGTAATAAGGTCGGACCTGTCAGAGTGATTAATGAATTGTCACTGGCAAAAGTAGCGGCGTCGCCGTCAGTGATTTGTACTCGCGGGCCGGGGCGGGGGCCCGGCCTCGGCCCCGACGCCGATTGCGCCGTATCCCGTCCGCCGCTCCGGACCGGTTGAGCAGGTGTGACAGGCGGATTCCTTTTCTTGTCAATGTATTAAAGGTCTTTTCCCGCAGTGACAGGCTGCTCTGCTCTGCCACCTTCTCTGCCGGGCCTTCACAAGACTCTGGGCAGCCACTGTGTCTTGACAGACCACTGTCACTTCCCATCATGCTTTCGCCTCACCCCCTCCCGCTCTCCCAGACCCACTTTCCGAGCGCCGCAATTATTTTTTTGACAAGCCATCCATCAGCTTTTACTTTAAAGCACTTTTCCGCCGATTGCCATTGTTGCTCTTCTCTGCCTTTTTATGCGCGAGTTGGCCGGGGGAGAATACGATACCGCACGCTCGCGCCTTTCTGCCATGTAAATCATTTTCGTAACCGTATTTGTTCACAATTGAGGTGGAATTTAGTGCAAGCAACATGCCCTTGTCAGGTCTAATTAACATGGCGGAGGCCCAAAATGATAGTCGAGCTCAATGCCAACTCTGCCATCAAGCAACTTTAACGTTGTCGTAACTCATAACTGTCAGCTGCAAACACTCACCCCTTTAACACTGCTCATTAAAAGGCTGAACCCTCCCCTTTTGTTTTTCTGCACGGTTGCTTTTCCATCCACAAAGCTGTGACGCGCAGTGGGGGAACAAACCTGACATTTAAACTGGCATAACTTCTCCTGTCCCTTTGTGTTAAAGGCATCGCCGCTGTTCATTGTCCTTGATACGTTCCAGCGGGTGCTAAATGAGTGAGTAACTATTCACCACTGAGTCAAAAATGGCACCAAATGGCATGTGTATGGGTTGCAAAGAAGCATTTCCAGTGCGTTTTGTTCTTAAGGAAGAAGGTTCATCCTAGAAAATAATAATCATCTTTTGGGCTCCTGGTTTGGGGTCTTGTTATGGTTTAAAGTGTTAATATTGGCACAATTCAGAGGCTACCTTTGCTGCATTTCTTCACTTTTTTCATCAGCACCCATCCTGTCCAGTAACGCACTCCTTCACGAGACAGCCATTCGATTGGAGGGATGACACGTGGCGTGACCTCACCGAGGATCAACGGACAGCTAATAGATGGAGACGCAATTCAGCGAGGACGAGACGTTTGCCGCTGCCAATACGACAAAGGCGGCGTCGGCGGCCGCCCATCGATCTCCCGCAGCCCGCGACCGAGACAGCTTCAAAATTCAGCAATAATCGTGACAAACGAGGAGCGGCACCGCGGCCAGAAAATCATCAATAAACGGCGGCGGAGACAAAATGCCAAGGTTGGAGACAAAAAGATAGTTCGGTTTTGGACTGTATTGACAAAGAAATAAGAGGCAAGTTATTAATTAGGGTTTTGGATCCCGCGGGATGTCCTCCAGTGATGGATTCTTTGCCTGCCACATTGAATGCCAAAAGCAGAAATATCGTGATGTAAGGCCGACTTTCTGATTGAAGTTGATTGTGACAACTTTTCAGCCAGTTCCTCTCATTTCACAAATGTTCTCATTGGCCCAAATACTCACAGGTGAACTCGCAAATCTTGCAGATGTTCTTCAAATTGGACGACTGTCTGACAAATCCGATTTCAAGTCTCGTTCAATGTCTTTCATGGCGCAGGGCAAACAAAGAGCAATTGGCAGCTCCCGACCACTTTTAAGACCGCGGCATGAATTCCCGTTGAATTTGGTCCGCTGTGACAGTCGGTGGCAGAAGACTGTTGAATTCCACTTGATGAATGTGAACATCCACAGCAGGAAATGGTAAATAGGTAAATATAAACGTCTTGGAATTTTTGCTATTCACGTCGGGGCTTGGTTCTGAACCCACTTTTTTTTTTTTCCTTTTCAATTTAGTCAAATGTGCCTGTTGTGGAGGCGAAGGTTCAACAGGCCAAGAGGTGAAAAAGCCAAGGCAATCATTTACCCGCCGTGTCACGCCACCGTGATGGAGTTGAATTCTGGTGCTGGACCTGCCTACCTTGGTGTGAAAAGTGGCATGTGGCTGAAGGTATGTGCACACCCCTTTGGAGGGACTCGTTCTCTCATCTCTGCTCCAAACTCGCACGCCACTAAGAACAACTCGGGTTATTAATCGTCGGCTGAGGTGCGAAGTAATTAAGCGTCGCTGGCTGAGGTGAGTTGGGGAAAGTTGGTGCCACCTCGCACACAAGTGCACTTTTTTTGAAATACCCTTCGTAACACTGCCGCACGTGCCTCATGTGGGATGACTCGTATTATTCCCGCTCACGTCAGTGGTGGGAAACACGTACAAATACTTTGTGATTGTACTGAAATAGATTTATCAGGTATCTGTCCTTGAGCACAGAGAACATTGCGGTGAAGAGAGAAAATCCACGAGTAATTGATGCTACTCTGTGGAACCCAGCCGCTGGGGGGCAGTGCCCTCCCCTGGGGGTGCACTGTTCCCCAGTGCCGGTCCCAAGCCCGGAGAAATGGGGAGGGTTGCGTCAGGAATGGCATCCGGCGTAAAACTTTTGCCAAGACGACCATGCGAGTTGGTAGGACGGTTTACAGGGGCGGATGGAAATTACTGACTCGCTGTGGCGACCCCTGACTAGGGACGTGCCGAAAGGAGAAGAAGAAGAAGAATTGATGCTACTCTGTGGAGCTGTATGCGCTTAAAGCTGCCCGTGATGTGTTTCTCAGGCGTCGCTAGCGAGCTAGCTAACTGCACCCCGCATGTGAACCACATAATCACTAACGTGAACGAAGGCAGTCAAGTTGTTAATAGTGGGCGAGGGCCGACTCACACGGATACCCAAGTGTGTCTCTGGGCACCATTTTAGCCACGCCCATGAAAAAAATCCAGAAATAGAAATCGTGAAAAACTATCGCCACAATTGAAAGCTACATAGTTGTATGTCTGAGCACATTTATTCAGCAATTACCTTTAAACCTGTAATATTAAGACACTAATCTCTAAATTGATTCTTTCAGTGCAGACATAATTTGTAATATATTTTCTTTTAACTTCTGTATATGACTTGAATCAACGCTTCTCCTTTAAAACAATCTTTTACACGAGTAGTTCCAGAGTATGAGTACTTTTGCCACCTCTAGCGTGCACACACACATACACGCACTTCCTGTGCTGTAAGGATGAAGTGCAGTTCCTGTTTTTCGGCGACCATCTGTAAGGGCAAAACTAGCCCAAGGTAAAAGCGATGACTGCAACTTGGCATAAGATGAAACGGGCATGCCGCAAAAGCCATTAATAATTCTTACATTTTGGAAACAGAGCGTACATACAGAATCTGCGCTCTTTAATCTCCTTGTGTGGAGAATAATTTCCACAAAAAAAAAAAAAAAAAAAAAAAAAAAGGTCAGCTGGTAATTTCCTCCCAGCCCGGGAATGATGGGCCAAGCTTTTCCAAGGCAGCCCATTTGTCTGTCAGGGTGGTTGATTTAGCTGCCGTCACTTGAAGCTCATGTCGGCTTGATGATACCGCTAGCTCAGGCGTGGGCAGAATTTGTCACCCGGACCTTTGACAGCGAGATAATTGCTGATGGTTAGCAGAATAATAGCATTCAGGCATCGGTGGCCACATGAAAGGAATATTTGTTGCCCGGCCGATACTTTGTTTAGCGTGAGAGAATTCACATTTTCGTCACCGAGTGACTCATGCGCTTGACATTTGGCAGACCTCCTTTACCTGACACTAAAATGTTTCAAACAAAGCTCCACTTGTCTAAAAGCATCAAAATATGTGATAAAGTCAACAAATATCGTGACGCTATGGAATCACGAGTCGTGTCGTCCATCTTTTCACTGACAAAACATCAAAGCAAAAGTTGCGTAATACGACTGCTGGCGGAATTCCGTACCGCAATATCGAATCAGAAGTTGTAATTTGGTATTATTTATAGTGACTGCAACATTTATATTGTGTCACAAGTTACATCGCGATGATAAAGAACGAGTGTGAGGAACTCCCTTCATGCGCCCTCTTGACTTGAACGTGGACAAACTCGTGATCAAAGCTGGTGTCACACTCTGGCCCCTCGTGTTGATCAAAGCCCTTCCTGCCCAAAAATAGAGGACAGTGGCACCCTGACGTCCAAATGCCCCAACTTAGTTTTTTCAGTTCTAAGCCATTGCTTGGTCATTTATTTTTATTTTTTGCTTTGCCGGTGGCAGCAAACTTCATGAGTAAAAATCAGCGTCAGTTAAAATGGCCAATGTATAAAGTGACTGCTTATTTCGGCACTACCCAGGGAAGGCATGAATACAATTCTGCACTCTTTTACTTTATTCCTTCCTCATCTTTGCATTTGGGAGATGGGGGGGGCACGCTCTGACCTTGCAGCTTTTTGCGCGTCCCATCCATCTTGAGCTGTTTAGCCGTTTCACTGAATTCACAGCGGCCAGATTAACACAATTCATCACCGCAATCATCCTCCATTCATCACCCCCCCCGCCTCCTCCTCGCCCCATGAATGTTTTGACGTCCAGTTAATTTTCTGCTGATGATTTATCAAACCATAATTACCATACTCTGAAGGAGTCATTCGTTATCTTGATGAATGATAATGACGCCAAAGTGGATTGAATTTTAAGCAAGTTCTCTCTGATGGTAACATGCGTTATTGTGAGTAATGGCTGACCAGGAAAGACATCGGGGTGGGGGGGAGCGGCAAAATTTCAAACCCCGTGTCGTGATTTTGCAAATTTCCCCATTCTAAATGATCATTTGTAAGGTCGGTGACTACAAAGCTTGCGTTTTCCCTGGCCAATTGGATTAGCAAAGGAGATTAGCACAAATGCAAAAATTGCTTCATCCAGAATCCTGACATCCGCAGTTTTATATAACATGTCACGAGGTGTATATCGATGGCAGAACGTAGCAATAATATTGCTTTGTATTGCACTATTTTTGTGTACCACCGAATAAAAAAGAAAGCTTAACCACCCACGCCGTAATGAAATACGTTGTAAAGTATTGAACAGCTTTTGCCGTATTGTTTTGCCTCAATTGAAGGTCTTCTCGTGCGCTCGCCTCGTCGAAAGTTTTTGTTTGCTCGCGCCGCGGCCCCACACGTCCCGTTTTACACATCGCATCCCGAGGAATTCGCAAGCTTATTTGGAAGAGGGCGGGGGCGGCGGGCTGCGCATTAAACGTCTCAGCACCCACAAGCCCTCTGTGGCCTTGTCAGCTGTGATGTGCAGCCATTTGCCGTGAGATGTGCGGCTTAATCCGGCCTTCCCAAGGTCGCCGGCTGGTAATTGATGTTGCTTATTCATCTGTTTCCTGTGTCTGTTCTCTTGCCCTTTACATGCCGCCCTCTTTGTTTGGCTAAATTATTTGAAGATTCTCTTCTCCACACAAACCAGAGGTACCCCCAAACTCAATGTGTGCCCTTCCTTGCAGGAGGTTGACCCCAGACGACACTCTGGCGGTCGCCGACAAAGGCTTGCCTTTCACCCCTCTTGCCCATGTAACAATGGAGACAGAAAGTGAATGAGACTTAAAGTCACACAGTGGACTTTGTACGCAATGATCACAAAAATGTGCCCAATTCGGAAGTAACACAAGAAGCTAAAAAAAAAAAAACCCCGAATCCTTAATCCCAGATTGACACGGCTTTGAAGTGACAATCTTCTCGGACCACCGGCTCATTGCACAAGAAAGACCACCTCGTACGTAACGGAAGGGGCTTGGGGGGACGGGGCGGCTAATGGGGAAGTTTAAAGGCACTTTTAACTTTGAAGGGAAAATTTGATCAGCAATTAGACATTCCTGAACCGGTTTCACACAGAGATCAGTCAGAATTGTCCAGTTCGATGCGGGTTTTGGGAGTCTTGTCATCATGTCTGTCTCTCGAAAAAGATTCGATCAACACCATTCCGTGTCGGCGCCATATGTCCAAAATAGCAACACGAAAAAGGGTCGCTCAAGTCTTACAGTCAGGTGTACAAGGGTGAAGAACGGCACCGTGTGTGTCGTGTCGGTGGTATTAGTCCTGAGTGGGGATTACGCGCCACCACTTGGGCCGTTATCCTCACGGGTCCCATTATCGGCCTCCTTATTAGTTTTTGACGCAGCGCAAGGAAAACGCGAGCACCTCCTGTCTTTCTGATCTCTCACGCGCTGACAAATCCCTTCTAGCCTGCCGACCGTTCTCCGCTAAGGTAATTAGCGCTAATTAAAAGGGTTCCAGCTGCCTCATGTGCGTTTTTTTTTTTTTTTGGGGGGGGGGGGGGTGAGCAACACATTGTCCTAACAGGTGCACGCGCTGTGTTTAGCGCCGACCAGCATGTCACTCACATTCCTCGCCGCTTGTTCACAGTCAGAAGATCAAGGAGATTTGGACTTTTGTTGTTTACAAAAGGAGTGAAACTTATTACCGGTGGAAAGCCGTGAAAAGACTTTTAGAGGGCGGGGGTGGCTTGGCTTGTCCCAGACAATGAAATTTAGGGAGTATTGAAGTCGGTAGTGTATTTCTATATCGCGGGTTGTAACCGTTGCAATGACGAGAGCGTTACTGTCAACTCTGTCCAAACCATTTTTGGCGTTCTTTCCGACTTGCGAATGTTGACTTGGTCCCAAACTCCCCCCCAATTACGAGGGTTTCCTGTTTTGAGGTTACGTCGACACTTTTCTGTCCGGTATCCGCAAGTGCTCATGCGACTATTAGGTAAAGCTGTCAGGCAACAAGTGAAAAGTCATGACTACACAAGCCAGAGGGTGCGTGAGTTTGGCTGTCACAAGTCATCAAGTCAGCCCGACGGTGACGGTGTGCGCCGCGCGGGACTTTTATGTGCAGCCGGGTCAAATCCAGCTTAAAGTCGCTCCCCCCCTCCCGCTTTCACATCCAATTCGGCGTCACATTCTTACCTACCGGCAACCTTTGCCGAGCTCCGGTCATTAATCAAAGTGGAGTGCTTGTCCTGACCTCAGCCCCCCGCCGCCCACTCTCCCACCCACCCAAACAGCCCCACGCCCCCTCCCCACTGCTTCACTTTGAAGTGCTCTGTCCTCTGCGGCA